GAATGAGGATACACATTAACATGGAAGGTTCTAATTTCTCTATTGTGTTTTTTGGTTTTGTAAAGATTACTCTATTTTGTCCTTAGGAGATATTTTAAGTTTTCTGGAAAGAAAAGAAAGGAATATTATCACCAAAACTCAGACAAGGGGAAAGTTGCCAAAATAAAATGAAGAAAGTAAAATATGGGAAGAAAGCCCCCCGTGTTTCAAAGTGAACAATTAGACCGCATCTTCTATTGTGACAGTGTGATTTATTGATTGTCTGTGAGTTTTCCTGATTTTCATAGTGGTGAGATGTCACTTTCAGGTTCACGAGAATGCATGTATTTGCACCTCATTTAAACAGAATAAAGCATTTTAATTCTAATTTTTAAAAGAAAGAATAGTCTTATTTGCTAATTTATTAAGTGAGAATTCTTGTGAATTCAGCTCTGTCTTTCTGATTTTTTTTAACTTTCACTTAGCAATTTTATATCTGCTACCTAGCTTAAGACTGAGACTATCGATATGTGTAATCTATATACATACACATATTCATAAAGAGCTACATTAGCTAGGTTATGCTGCAGTAACAAACCACCCCTCCATTTTAGGTGGCTTAAAACAATGAGGATTTCTGGGGATGTGAAGTACAGCATAGGGAATGTAGTCAATATTGTAATAACTATGTATGGTGCCAGACTTATTGGGGGGATCACTTCATAAGTTATGTAAATGTCTAATCACTATGCTGTATACATGCAACTAATAAATATTGAATGTCAGCTATAATTGAAAACAATTTTAAATAAAAGAAAACAATGAAGGATTTCTTTCTCACTGTGTGGCGCTGATAGGTCAGCAGGGGAGCTCTGCTTGTATCACTCAGTGATCCAGGCTGATTGGAATGACCACCTTGCACACTAGTGGTTGCCAGACTATGTCCGGAGGTCGCTCATTAGCAATTAAATATAACTCAGAAGTGACTCACATTGCTTATTTCACAACATGATGGCAAGAACCAGTCATGTCCCACAGAACTACCTGGGGTGGGAGGGCGGGGAGCAGGAAGTGCTGCACAGCCAGTGCCAAGGGGACAGAGCTGAAAATAGTTGATCAAAACACCATCTTTTTGATCATCAGATAGTCACTCTACATTCACAGGCAAAATACACTCACTTCTTCCCCAAGGTAGGGAACCCCAAGGTCTTATCCGATCACGGCATCAAGCTCGAAGTCTAGGATCTCTGAGTAATGCATGGGTATGATTGGTGGCCTATTCATGGGGAAATGATGTATAGTAGTCTCCACATCAGATCCAGGTGTTCTTGATCCAGAGACCTGTGAAAGCGTTTGACACATGATCTGCTGCCCCCACATAGAATGTACAATTATAACTAGTGACGGGATAATTAAAAGAAAAAAAACTCCCATTTTAAAAGGGAGTGGGGAGTAGGAGACATTTAACAGTCAGTGGACTGCAGCAAATTCTGAAATCCCTCTGAGCAGTCATTGGGAGGGCTTAAATAGACCCTGATTTTGGTTTCTTGGCAGTAGCTTACTTGTTAGTTATTTCTTTGCTCCCTAGCTTCATCGTCTTGGCCCTTCTTTTTTTCCTGTTATCTTCCTTGGCTATATTCAAAATGGGCAGTAAGGAATACGGCCCCTTAGGGAGATGAACAGCTTTCTTGGCCCACTTCCTGTCATAATGTTAGGAACCCAAAGACCATTTTAAGTCTTGCATAGTCACAGCCTTTTAGCCCAGGCTGGTGGTTCCTTTGGCAGTATAACTCTTTGCTGCATAGCTCTGCCTTGTTGGTCCCATACTTCTTCCTTGACTTAATTTTGAGTACAGATATTTCTGCTGTAATTCCACATACGTGTTTCTGAATTCTGCAGAATTGTACATGAAAATAAGTGGGGCTTATAGATTGGGGCAGACCACTCAAACTCTGTGGAACACTGTAACCGTGTGCTAATAAAAACAGTGACTATAATAAAAACAGTAGTATATTAAATCTCCACTGGCCTGTGCACCCAGCATCAGTCAGTTGAACCTCTTTACAGACTTCATCCCCTGGGTGGTGGTTTCCTCTGTGGTTTAGAGTCTTGAAGACGTTAGCTTACAATAGAGACCAGTTTCATTACAATAAAAATTTTGGTCTATGATATGGTATAGACTTCAGCAATCAAAAACTTCCTTTTTTAAACACAGGAGGAGAAACATATACCCTCAGCTTCAGCAGATATAAAGTAGAAAGTGTAGTGGTCCATGAAGCAGCAGACCACTTGCATTAAAGGAAGATATAGAAGTAAGATGTTTAGCTTTTTTCTTAAGATCTTTATATAGTGCTAAGGCTTTTTTTTTTTTTTTTTTTAATGTTGAGAGATTTTTCGCCTAATCACTTCAAACGTTAACTTGCAGGTGGAATACCTCATGTAAAACAACATGACTTCTGTGTTATACTGATATCATTTCTGTATTTACTAATAGCATTTGACCTAATTCACATTGAGAAATGTAGCAGAACAGAGTAAGAGACTGCTTTGGTGAGAGAATCTCATCTTTTTTCATCTCGTTTTAGAAAAGCTATTTTATTGGGCCCCACCTCAGTCATTTGGGAGGTTTTATCAGTGGTTGCGAAGGCCAAATTTTTGACTTGATTCTTGCCTCAAGACTGAATTCTAATCAGCATTTATAGCTCAAAGACCTTCTTAGTTTTACGTTAAGCACTTGCTTCTTCTATCTACAAATCGCTGACTTTCTGGACTCCTTTTGTTCCTGAATATAAATGGATCGATATTTTCTGAATTCATACACTTCACGTACTAATTCGTCAAATACAGCCAATAGTAACCAACACTATCTCTTAATAGTCCAGTTTTCCACTAAAACTACAAGTCCTGTGGCATATTATCTATCTTCTGAAATAATTAGGTGATAGTTTCACTAGTAATTTTACCACTGCATAATACATTGCTATCCTTTTAGCCTCCAATAATAGTTTCCTTGCTTCCTTCTACCCAGCTCCTAAGCCTTTTCCATGTATTTTAGGTTTTTTAATGAGGCAACAGCCCACTTTTGGATTTCACATGTATCAACTAGGATAGACTAGATTATGCTGCAGTAGTAAACAACACAAGATCTCAGTGGCTTTAAAAAACACACTTTAACACGTACATATACTCTGTGTAAAATTAAATTTTTTAAAAATCCACTGCACTGTGCATATTCTATAGGTCTTTTAGTCACTCAGAGACTCAGGTTGATAGCAGTGATAGCAGCCATCACCTTGAAGACTGCCAGTTCCTGTGACAGAGGGAAACGAGGTCTAGATCTAGAGGGTCTCCCATTGGTTAGAAAACGCCCCTGCCTTCTGTGTGTCACGTTACTCCTGATATACAGGCCAGAAGCAGTCAGGGAGCCCCACCCACCTCTGGGGAGGGGGCGGGGTTAGAAAGTGCAGTCCTACCACGTGCCCGGAAGTGTTGGGAAGGTCGTATTGATGACTACCACAGAAGATTTCCCTTCATTTATTTTCCTTTGTCTTACTGAATTTTATTATAATTCCTAGCTTTTGCTGGTTAATTGAATTTTACTGTCTCTCCTCCCTTGCTTAATTTGAGATAATTAACGTAAGTTTATTTAACAGTACTTATAATTTACATTATTTCCATGGGTCAGAAGTTTTGACAAAGCTACTAGGATTTTCCTATTTGAATTACGAGGTATGAAAACTGTTGCAAAAAGATGTGGTTACAGGAATAATTTATTTTAAATTATTTTTTTGGAGTGTCACTTGTCATAGTAGAAAGACCACGTGCTTTGGAGTCAGGCAGGCCTGGGGTCAAACATTGCTTTTGTCATTGAATAGATATGTGATCTTTGACAAATTAGCCTCTCAGAGGCATAACTTTCTCATTAATAAATACAAAAAGTATAAATATATTCAGATGTCAAGTAAAACATGGTGGCATTTATAACCACTCCTTTCACTAAAATCAAAGTAAAATCATTTTCTAAAAGAATAAATTCATAAGGAGAAAGAAAATGGAAGAAAATAGTTTAAAAATCAACCTCAAAGTTTTGTGGTGGTTATTAAATAGAAATAACAAGGACCTTTGCAGTGCATGCGCACATAGCAGGCAGTCAGTAAATAGTTTTTTTTCCTTTTGTCAACTAGACAGCGTATGTGCTTGCAGTAATATTCATATGACTCAAAGCTTAGGTGGTTGGCTAAACAGCAATGTGAGGTATGTCACAAAGCAAATTATGTGCCCTTTTGATCTTTTTTTAAATTGATGGTTTTATTTTCTTGGAACCATATCAACCCGATGGTTACTGTTTCTTAGAATTTAGACTTCTGTGCAACTGGCAAATGAAAAGTCACCCAGCTATTGAGTGGATCTTATGAGCTATGCATAGAATAAATTTAAAAATGCTTGGCAACTTTGAAATTATTCTGATAAACTTGAAAACAAGAATACCTATAATAATATCTATAACTAGATTGTAAATTATTTAAAGCCAATATTTTCTCTCTCTTCAATAGTTATGTCAATTAGCTGTTTTATTGTCCTGGTCCACAGTGCCTAGCCCACTTCCACCTTTGTTCTGTGAGCTCTGATTGTGGTGGACAGTGGTGACTGATACTGAAAAAACCAGCCAGCATAAAGCTCTTGTATGTTTCATATACAACACATTTCATGAGCAGTAGTCACTGTTCATTTAGTCATCAAATATATACTGAACACCTAAGTGCTAGGCACTCTGCTAACGATATCTCAGTGAACTGGACAGATAATGACTCCTGCTGTCTTAGAATTTAGTTCTAACAAAATGTTTGTTGAATTTATATAACCCAGTAAAATCATGGCCCACAGTGAACCATGTAAGCAGGATAAAGACTTGTATGTATAGTTCAATTATTTGAAGCTGTGTTTGCTGTATGATATAAATGTATGCTCTAAGAAGGAAATAGTGATATCTGACCTTTTTTCCTCTTTGCTTTTCTTTATAGATAAGATGTTCAAGTCACTTGCAGCTCTCTTCAAAGGAAAAATCACTAGTGCTCTGCTCTTGCCGTAATACCAAACCTTTTGACTTATGCTTTGGTGCTGCAACACTGGAAGAATTGCACACAGGTTCCAGGAATACCTGTTTTTCATTTGAGTGATTCTTTGTGGATGGAAAAAAATTGAGTCTTGTTAATTACCCTGTTTTAAACCTATTTCTCTATAGTCCGAACTGCTTAATAAATCGGGCCACTTACCAATGAGCCACACAGCCAGTTCGTGTCAGGAGCTGGTTGAAAACTGTGCTGTGCATGTAGCAGGGATGGCACAAGAGGATAGCCGCCGTGGTCAAGTGCCATCTACCTTTTATCATGGTGCCAACCAAGAACTCGACCTGTCCACCAAAGTGTACAAAAGGGAATCAGGAAGTCCTTATTCTGTGTTAGTGGACACCAAGATGAGCAAACCACATCTCCATGAAACAGAGGAACAGCCATATTTCAGGGAGACAAGAGCAGTATCTGACGTGCATGCTGTTAAAGAAGACCGGGAGAATTCTGATGACACAGAGGAAGAAGAGGAGGAGGAAGAAGTCTCTTACAAAAGGGAGCAGATCATAGTGGAGGTAAACCTTAATAATCAAACATTAAATGTATCTAAAGGGGAAAAGGGTGTCTCTTCTCAGTCCAAAGAGACTCCTGTCCTTAAGACGAGCAGTGAGGAGGAAGAGGAGAGTGAGGAAGAGGCCACAGATGACAGCAATGACTATGGAGAGAACGAAAGGCAGAAGAAAAAGGAGAAGATAGTGGAGAAAGTCAGCGTTACACAAAGGAGAACGAGGAGAGCTGCCTCTGTTGCTGCAGCTACCACTTCCCCTACTCCCAGAACTACGAGAGGTCGTAGGAGGAGTGTAGAGCCACCTAAGCGTAAGAAGCGGGCCGCAAAGGAGCCCAAAGCACCAGTCCAGAAAGCTAAGTGTGAAGAGAAAGAGACTCTGACCTGTGAGAAGTGCCCCAGGGTGTTTAATACTCGCTGGTACCTGGAGAAGCACATGAACGTTACTCATAGGCGCATGCAGATTTGTGATAAGTGTGGCAAGAAGTTTGTCCTGGAAAGTGAGCTGTCCCTTCACCAGCAAACAGACTGTGAAAAAAATATTCAGGTAGGTTTCATCACCGAGAGGGCAAACTTCCCAGGATAGAACCTAGCTGTTCAGACTCACCTGGTATCCGCCCAAGAGAATAAATACAGTAGAGGCTGAAGGGACAGATTTCACCAGTTTATCTTTTTAAAAGCTCTTTATTTGGTCGTTTCAAAACCCAGGCTTAACATTTTATTTCAAAAGCATTAAATGTAACTGACGCTGGACTAGTGGGAACCCAGGCACATTGGAAGGGGGATCTGTTACAGGTGACTGCCCAGGAGGTAAAGTCAACACCAACCTTGCACTGAGATTCACTGTTGTAGGACGCGTAATATAATTCATTCTGGCATCTTCTCTATCAAGGTGGGAAATATTGAGCAAAGTTCAAGAGTAGAGAGAGGTCACTTTCTAGGCCCAAAGGGATGCCAGACTCTAGTGCATCCGAGGGGGACAAAAACCGTAATGACTCAGACCGGTGGAAATGGAAGATCTCCAGGAGTGAGTTTGCTTTTACCAGTGGAGAGATGACAACACTAAATTGGTCAAGAGGCTGAGCCCATGGGAATATGCAAACCTTAAACAGAGGCTGAGCTGGTTGAAAATGTTGCCCACCTGGCAGTAGGGTTATGTAATGCTTACTGTACCATATTGTTAAGGTAACAAAACATGGTATTCAAACCAGGCTGGAGTCTTGAAAGGACTATATGTGATAGGTTAAGAGATGTGCTAATAATATTTTGTCAAGTGAATTATATTATGTTGAGCTGATACATTGGTTTGCACATGCGAGTACATATTAATGAATATTTATAGAAGGTAAGTCTATACATGTCTCCATAAGATATGTAAAATAGACATATTTTATACCACATTTAAGCTAAATTTCCTTTTAAAAGATGAAATTGTTTTGGTTTGTTTCCTGGAGTGCTCCTTATTTTTCACATTTCCTCTTGGTTTTAATCAACAACTGAAGATTGTTGCTTTATTTTCAAGAGATTTTGAAAAAAATATAAATTACATTTGCTGAAAATTCACTGCTTTTTGATTTGTCAGTTGTGACTTGATCTCCCAAACACTGGGTGAATAAAAGAAGACTGAGCCATGGCGCCCATTCCCTCCAGTAACTACCAGTGCCTTGCTCATGGTGATGAATTGGTTGCAACAGTTCAGGCCATAGGGTGCAATGCAGTGCTGCACCCTAGGGGTCAAACTTAGGTTCTGTAATCATTCATTACTGAAAAGGTATATCTTAATCTTGACCTTTATATAGCTGTTTTTTTTTTTTAATTTGCTTTATAAAATTATGGAAAAGAAAACATTTAATAAATTTTTATGTGTGTGACTTGCCTCACTGTTCCTCACCATAATACATTTAAACTTGTGTTTAGGTTTTTGGCTGCTGCTAACTAAATGAACTCTGTTCACATTCCTAAAGAACACTGCTTTGTTATTACGCATAGGCTAATAATCCTGATGACTTTGTAAAAATTAAAACCGTGCCCCAGCAAAATGGTTTATAGGAGTTGTCTGTCCTTTTCTTGAGCAATATCCAGCCAAAGGACTCTTCTCAGAGTCCTCGTTTCCAGAAAGGACAATGATATTTGAGAAATCTTTATTTATAGTGAATACCAACTTGTTCCCTTAAGTATCCCTGAATCTGATAGTTACCTAGAAATTTCTAGTATTGTTTTACTTTAACCAGAGCACTTTATTTTGATACACTTGATGCCTGATATTCCAGACTGTTAATGATACATAATACAAGGAACTAGACAGTGTTGTGTGTGCTTCCTGTAGATGCTTATATGAGAGATCTGGAGCTGAGCTATAAGGGAACATGGAGAATGATACCAACAGTTTAGAGGCTATGTTAAATTCTGCCAGAGGGAGTATTTATTTAATAGAGGAAATTAGATTTGTGAAAATATAAACTCTCAATAATTTGTATTAATGACGTCTCCAAATACGTTCCCTATGGTACAAAAACATTGTTATACTTCTACAGATCTATAACCATTAATATGCATTTTGTTTTATCTTGTTTTTATTTGTGCTAATTTTAAATTAGTTTGTAATCTCTGGTAAACACCTATTAACTGTGTAATGACCCAGGCAGCTGCTCTTGGTAATCCATGTATATTTTTAAAAACTTGAACGTTCTTTTTGTAGGTATATGCAGACTTGATAAAAGCAGTCAGTTCTTTGATATTAGTGCGACTTTCCATTTCTTCTTGTCTTAACTTTTTGCCATTGTTTTCATACTCAAAGTATCTCTAAAAGTTGCATCTTAGAAAATAGAACACACAGATGTTGGTGTTGGAACCCAGACACCATGGAAGAGTAGCATTTGTTTGGATTCTGGCCTTGCGACATGAATCTAAAGCACACCCATTCCTCTGCCAGTAGGCAGGTATGGCTTTTGACAAGACCCTATAAATAAAGATTATTTCTGTTTATCCTGCTCAGTGTGTTTCCTGTAACAAGTCATTCAAGAAACTCTGGTCCCTTCATGAACATATCAAGATCGTCCATGGATATGCAGAAAAGAAATTTTCCTGTGAAATTTGTGAGAAGAAATTCTATACCATGGCTCATGTGCGGAAACACATGGTTGGTAAGTTTCATCTGCTGCTTTTGTCTCACACCTATAATTTTCTCTTGTCCTCTGGTGCACTTTGTGCTCTGGATTGCGCAGAATATGAGGAACTGCCTTACTTTAGTCACTTTTGACTTGTTGAAACTAAATGCAACATGTCTTCAGTAAGCATCACCAAATTGGATGGTATAGTCTTCCACACCCAGGTTTCTTTAAAACATTGCTAGTTATTTTTCTCTTCAGAACATTGCTGTTAAAGCCTCGCAAATTAGAGTGTAGAAGATTAAGGTGGCATGATGACCTTACAGTAGGACACCTGTCTTTTTCAGTTCGAGCTTTCAGGTGGACTTTTTTTGAGTGTAAGTGCATTCTGTGTTGCAGCACACACAAAAGACATGCCTTTTACATGTGAAACCTGTGGAAAATCATTCAAACGCAGTATGTCACTCAAGGTGCACTCCTTGCAGCATTCTGGAGAGAAGCCCTTCAGATGTGAGGTAAGGAGCGCTGCTCACCAGGGCCAGGCCTAGGGGTAGCATCTGTGTATACGGGGAAGCCGTGGGAGAGGGGTGTGCTGCGTTTCCACAGAGCCTCCAGACACGTGCTCTTAGAACTGTGTTATCTCACAGCTCGGCAGAGATACGTCATTTTTAATACATTGTTAACTCTCTTGGATTAAGTTAAATTTGGGAATAACACGAGTTATTTTTATTAGTAATTCAGAGAAGTTGGGTATCCTCTAGTGATTGTTATATGAGAAATTGCCCTTTTATTAATAACTCAGCTACAGAAATACAGCAGAGCCAAATAGATGACAAAAACAGGTTCTGTTTTGAGTATGAAAAATAAACCTATTTCAGAGACCGTGTAGGGTGGGCTCGAGTTAAGTTGCTGTGCTTGGCATTCAGAAATATCTACTGTGTCCAATGCAGAACTGTGACGAAAGGTTTCAGTACAAGTACCAGCTGCGCTCCCACATGAGCATCCACATTGGGCACAAACAGTTCATGTGCCAGTGGTGTGGCAAGGACTTCAACATGAAGCAGTACTTCGACGAACACATGAAAACACACACTGGTAAGAATTTATTGGGAAAAGTACAGCTATGTCTCAAGTACTTGTTGATGATCACCTGTGAGTCTGTTTATTTAAAAATCTAAACCACCAGTTTGCATTCTAACTGGAAATTCCACTTTAAATAAACCTGATATGGAAAAATATAGATTTATAATACCAAATTATTAGGCTTTCATAACTGTTTACTTTAAAAAGGATTATTTGTTAGTGCCTTTTACCTGCAGGTTCCTTCAAGTAAACGAATTATTTACTTTGGGCACAAGATCTCCTGAAATGGTATGAAAGTTGTTTTTGTGTATATGCATATTATTTTTCTAAGGAAAGGGTTCTGGACCTTTAAAAAATGGAGGGCACAGACTGCTTTAAATAGAATACCCTCTCAGTAGTCTTAAAGTTTGATTGGATTTGATTTACCAAAATTCACTTCTTTTCAGTGACATATTCATCAAATGAAATTAAATAACATTTTAACCACTTTGTGTTTTTAGGGGTATATGCTCCATCGCATGGATTTGAATCTTGTAAGCATTTGACGATCCAGCTTTTAAGGAACTAGCTAAAATAAAAGTTCCCCCTGTAAACACTATCATTACATATCAGTCTTAACCTGACGTTCCGGGATTAACCGTCTTTGTACAAATTACACAGTATGAAACATTTTTCAGGATTCTAAATTAAATCTAATCACAGCATTCTCGGTTTTATTAGTCTACGAAGTAGCAGAGCTAGAAAGAACCACAGGAGGTTGGCTTGCTTAGCCTGCTATTCTTTCTGCTTAACTAGCGGTGAGAAAATTCTGCCCATGGCCGGATCTCTTTGGTTTCCATTTCTCTGCTGAAGTCCTAAGAAAAATGCCCGCTTAGTGGGCTTCTTCCCCATTCAGAATAGAGCAACCTCAGATTTTAAGAATTAGACTAGAAGGAGAGTCATGAGAGGAGTTTAAGTAAATTACACTTCAAAAGGTAGTGATCACTTTGAAGCCTAAATGGATAGCAGAATATATAGAGTATTTAACAAATTATCTTATAATTTGGTGACTCTTGGACAGGGTCTTAAGTTCTGAGTCACATTTAGGATTCGCTTTTTGTTATTCAGTAGGAAACTGTAGAACTAGACAGACAATAAGTTTTTTTGAAGGCAGAAGTTGTGTCATGTTCATACACAGTGCTTAGCACATTGTAGGTGCCTGATAAATGTTTGTCACAAGATTGAAAGGAACCTCCAGCTACTTAAGCCTCTGCTTCTGCACTCACCTCTTCTCTTCATGTCTCCCTGTGAGACATGCATCTTTCTCCCCATTCCTTCCTCTCTCCTTCTTCCCTCCTGTATTCCTTTTTCTTCCTTCCCCTAGTCCTTCTTCAGACCCTTAAATGTCCATAACATGAAACCAAAGTATATATTTTGTGATTAACATATATGTTGAATACAATTTTATGATTTCACCAGATAGGCAAGCCGAACGTTTCCTATTTCTTTTAAGGGAATATAGTTACCTAAATTCATATCCTTCTCATTAAAAGAGTAGTACATACCTATTAAACTATATTTGACAATATGAAAATTGAAAACAAAATAAAAATGATCTATAATCTTGTCACTGATCACTACTGTTAACATTTTAACATCATTTCTTAAAGATTCTTTTGTTTTTACGTACACATGTAGATTGATACTGTGCATAAATGTGCATATGTTCACGTATATAGTAATGAAATAAAATTGGGTCTTTTAACTATTGTAACCTGCTTTTTATTTTAGTGTAATATATCATTAACAGCAATTTTATTCTAAAGGTTGTATAGTATTCCTCCTTGTAAATTTGCTGTAATCATAGCCATTATTTATTAGGCACATGTATGCCAGGCACCATCCTAAGAACTTTATACACATTATGTCATTTAATCAGTATAATTGAATCTTTACAACAGTCCTATAAAGTAAAGCATGTTATCTCCATTTTATTTAGCCAGTTCCCTATTAGACATTTAGATGATTTTATTTCCAATTTTTCTACTTTTATAAATAATACTGTGATAAACAACTTTGTGGCTAACACATCCATGATTAATTCCTAGAAATGAGATCATGAAGGCAAAGGGATGTGCACATTTTTAAGCCTTGATGATTGTTGCAAAATAGCACTCTTACCCAGCTATGTGTGATAATACCCATTTCCCCAGCCCTTTCCAGTGCTAAATAAAATCCTTGCTGATCTGACAGGTGAGAAATGGTTTCTGTTGTATTAACTTGCACTTAATTAATTGCTAAGTAAGACTGAACATTTTTTCATATGCTTATTGGGTATCAGTATATTTTCTTTTCTGAATTGCTTGTGCTTTTTCTGTATTCATCTTTCTGTTGCAGTGCTTGACTTTTTCTTATTGTTTATAATAGCTTTTTATGTATACTTATATACTGGGCCTCGTTTAACATCAGTATTAAAATGCTTTCCCCTGGTTTGTCACCTGCCTTTTAATATTGTTTGTAATACTCAAATTGGGAAAGTAGCTTTATGGTGGAGTTGGACAAACCTGGCTCTGTTAACTCACTAGCATTGTGACCTTACGTGAATTAGGCAACCTCTGTAGGCTTCTGGTTCCTTGGTATTAAATGAGGATGACAGTAGCACCTGGGGAGATACAAGGAGAAGAGTTAGCTTTAAAGAGGAGGGGTAGCTCTCTTAAGACTAGATGAAACCACATTTAAACTATGTTCTAGTGGGGATTAAGGCCATTATAGGAACTGACATTGACTGGGCTGTTTCTTTGCAGTTTAAAGAGAAGTGAGGCAGATCTTATCTAGGGAAACTGACCAGCCCTCAGGAAGGGTTTCCTAGGATGATGTGGACATGGAGTGAGTTCAGCATAGAATAATTGCTGATTCTTCTCGTAGCAGGCAGAGCAATAAGTGCCTAGAGACACAGGATGAATTAAGACTTGGTTTTTGCCTCCAAGGTGCTTAGTGATGGTAATAACAACAACAGCAACACTAAAATGCATTGAATGTCTCCTATGTGCCAGATACTGTTCTAAGGACTTTCCTTGTATTTTCAACTTATCACAATCACCTATTATTATCTTCATTTTTCAGATAAGGAAACTGAGGCTCAGAAATTAATTTATCCAAGGCAGTCTGACTGTAGAACCACATACTTAATGATTCTCATATAAATTTAATGTAGCAAGTAACAAAATGGAGGGATACATAGAACATCATGAAGGCAAAAAAGCACCATTTCAGAGTCTGCTGCTCAGCTTCCAGAATTCGTCAGTGTACTCAAGGAGATCAGGATCAGAGGGATTGATAATGTGTTAATAGTCTTAATGATATATAAATAAAATTGCAAATTTATTAACAGTGAAAAGGCTGAGTGGCAAGTGGTTCAGAGCTCTTCTATTCTTTGGTAAGCATATTCTTTACCTAAAGAATAATTTATATTAGAAGCTAAATTGTAATCAAAAGATTGTCAGGGACAGAGAATTATAGCAAAAGAAGGTAATCAAATTCAAGAAGTCATCAGTTATAAGACAAATTTAATTTATATACCACTGAGGAAGTCCTGCAAATTAAGCAGTGACATGCCATCGATTGTAAGGTATGTCAGTTTCAAAGATATTAATATATGTGGGGAAACACCTGGCTTAGAATTAAAAAATATTTATAAGAATCTACTAATTGGGCTACTGCAGTGAACAAGACTGAAATAGTCCCTGGGTTCACAGATCTTGTAGTCAGGTTGGGGTGATAGACAAGCAAAGCATAATAATGGTTTAGTGATGAAAGCATAGTAAGTACATGGAACTAAAAGTTTGACTAGAGTCTTATGGATTGGGGGTGGGGGACAAGGAGTATAATAAGACATGATACTGGAGAGCAGTAAGCAGGAACCAGATCACATACACAGAAACACTCAAAAGCCATGTAGAAAAGTTTGGACTTTATTCTGAGGACAATGGGAAGGTCTGGAATGGTTTTAAGCAGAGTATGACACAACTATCTGAAAGTTCACTCTGGCTACAGTGTGGAGAATGAATTAGAGGGTGAGGAGCAAGAATAAATGATTGTGATGATAAGGACTATGGTAATAACAGCGAATGAAACTGAAGTGATAGACATGGTAGTAGAGATTGATTAGCTATCAGTGGTGTGGGAAAGAAGAATCAAGTGTTAGTTTCATATTTAGGACTTTTATACCATCTGTAAATATAGAGAATAGTAGAGGGAGAAGCAGGTTTGCTAGGCAGGATAATGAATTTAATTTTTCACTTTTTAATTTTGAGATATCTCTGGGATATTCAGGTGGAAAGGTCCAGTAGGCAGTTTGCAAAATGGGAGAGAGATTTAGACTAGATATATATAGATATGCAGGTTTTGATGTTGTTCAAGGGTGTTCGTACTAAGCAGACTGGAATGCTTGTGTTTATTGGCCAGATTGCTTTGTCTTTTGAACAATGCAAAAGACAACTAACCAAATTCTTGCTCCGTTCTATCTTCCCTGCAGATTCTGTGTCTTCTTTTATAATGTTCTTTCTTCATACTCATTACAATGCTGTTCCTTACAATCAGGTTAGCTTTATCATATGTAACAGGAAGTATCTTTAGGTGCACTGATATACGTGCTTTTCTAGTTACTTTGATGAAGTTAGCTGTCAGTATATCTTACAGCCACTCATTTACCAGCTCCTCTTTAAAGTGAGACATCGTACAGGTGGTTGATTTCAAGTGTTACATTTTGATTTTTCCTTATTTCAGCCTCATTGTAATTGTACCTCGAGGTTTCAGGGGAACCTTGACATCAGTCATTAGCACGGTTAGGAGAAGGGGCCTAATGAATAATGAAAGTTAGAGATAGGTGGGATCATGGACTTATGTCAGGAACAACAAACGTGGACATTAAGAAATTAATAAAAGATGATTAAGCAGTGAAAAGGACCTACTTTAATTTGAATCCATAGATTTGTGGTAGGCCAGTTCTAATAGTTTTTGGTCTTTCTTAGAAAATCATTATCGCCTAGAAGACTACAAGAGAAAGATGATTAGAGAGATCCAGGATTGCATTCTGGTTTGAGGACATGACAGAAAATTAAATGTCTAAACATTCAATAAACTTTCAGTGAATACATGCTGTATGTAAATAAAGCATCTAGTGCATCTAAGAAGTGTTAGTGAATCTAGTGGAGAGTGTTTGCTCATATTAGACTAATAATTCAAAGATTAGGTCCTTTGGCTCTGTTTGTATATGGCTGTTGGGAATGAAAAATACTAACTCTAGAGAATCCAGGAGGGAGGGTCCAGGAGTTTGATAGGTTATAAACAGCTGTGCTTTTAAAACAATTTATTATAAGTGAATCTTGTTTATTTTAGGAAAACAGAAAATACATATAAATTTAAAAAATAAGACATCAGTTATAATCCTGTCACCTAGAGATAATCACCTGAAATATTTGTTGTCTTTCTTTCTGTATTTTTTCTATACATATTTTTCATTAAAAGTGGATAATACCATGCATACATTTTTATAACTTACATGTTTTACTTAGTAGATTATAGATAATCTTACAGGTTTTCATGTTAACATTTCTATACTTTTATAATATTGTTTTTAATGGTACTTTCTGTCAGACGAGTATACCATAATTGATTTAATCAATTCAATTTAACATAGAATTTGAAGTTTTTAAGGTGATTGAAGGAAATAGATTAAAAAGAAAGAAAACAAGCTGAGCTCAGAACTCATCTAGAAAGATCAGTATAAATCACAGGGAAGAGCCTGGCAGTGGCAGTGATTGAATGAAAAGCTGAAAGATAAGAGAAATATAACAGTAAGAAAATAGTTCTAGTGATAACAGAGAAAACAGAATTCTATCTACTGTCTTAAGGAAGCGAGGGAAATTCGGGCTTCCATGGAAGAAAGGCAACAGGAGATGTCAGTTTTTAAGGGTAGGGAGAAGAAATAAGGACCATCATATAGGTAAAGAGGTCTTTGCTGCTAGTAATAAGACAGGTCCCAAAGTGGAAGAAAACAATAAGACAGTAACATTCCTTAGTGTGCACAGGAATAATGCACAAGGCAGTGAGGTGTGAAGTGTTATGGTTTATGCGTCGAGAGGATAGACTCTGGAGCCAGACTGTGGAGGTTAAATCCTGGCTCTCTGCTGGCTGCAGAGCCAAGTTGAGATAACAAACCTACCTCATAGAGTCTGTCGGTCTGTTCATGTGTCTCTGAGGATCAACAAGGTTAGTAGATTTGAAGTGAGTAGAATAATGATGAGCATACAGTAAGATCAATACACAATAGCTATTGTTTATATAGAGTAAAATAAGGGAGTGAAAATTGAAGTGACAGCAAACTTTTGTAGCTGGAGTTACTTACCGTAGATACAAGCTACATATACTGAGAATTGATGAAAGAATTGATAAATACAAGCATGTGGTCACCAAAGCACATGTTTACAGGTGCTCCACCCCTCATCTCAACGTTCCATATGAAGTGATTAATGGACATAGACTATCATTTTGTTTTCCCCTATAGTCTAGGTAGAGAAGCAGGCAGACATAGTGTGGGAGTAAGCACTAAGTCCAAAGGAAAGTTAGAAAGCTTAAAAATTAAGCTCTTAGAACCGAAACCTGAATTCTCCCTAAGTGCCCTTGGAATTCTGGGGTTGTGTTTCCTTTTGGACTCATAGACCCAGTGGTTCTCAGCCAGGAGCAGTAGCCCCCTTCTCAACTCTGCCTGCACCCATGGACATTTGGAAATGATGTGGGGACAGTTTCGATTGTCAGAATCTTGTGGGGGCATTTAGTAGGCTGGCACCAGAAATGCTGTGTGTTCTTCAAATGTGCCAGACAGTCCTACATAATGAAGAATTATCTGGAGAAGTGCCAGTAGCACCCCCATTGAGAAACACTGCAGTGTGAAATTCACATTATAGGGTGAGTCCAGACAGTATTTTCCAAGTCCAACACCAAAGAGTAAGCCGCGTGCTAAGGATTATGTATATAGATACAAAGAGACTGATTTGCTCCACAGGATATTTTCAGCAAAGTCTTACTTTTAGTTGGAATGTTAGAAGTTGTTTACAGATTGACTTGCCTAAATTTGGAGGCGGAGATCCATCTGTGGTGTTGGTGCCCCTGAGCACAGGAAAGCCTTGTGAACGTTTTTCATGTAGGATGTGAAGGATCACTACTTTAGGTGCCTTTTTTAACCAAGCCTAGATGATAGGTTGTCTGTAAGTTTTACTTGTATCTGCTCTTATTTGCTAAGTCCTAACTTTGGAAGACTCTTTTTTTTGTCTTTAGAACATAATGTACCATAAAGGAGAGGAGTGGTGATCTCCTTTTTTAATATGAAAAATAACGTGACCACATAATTACCACCTAGTTTGTTAATCATTTTTTTGTGTCTGTGTTCTTCTCAGGAGAGAAACCCTTTATCTGTGAAATCTGTGGCAAAAGCTTCACCAGCCGCCCCAACATGAAGAGGCACCGCAGAACTCACACAGGCGAGAAGCCCTACCCATGTGATGTGTGTGGCCAGCGGTTCCGCTTCTCCAACATGCTTAAGGCCCACAAGGAGAAGTGCTTTCGGGTGACTAGCCCCGTGAACGTGCCGCCTGCTGTCCAGATCCCACTTACAACTTCCCCAGCTACCCCAGTTCCTTCTGTGGTGAACACACCTACAACCCCAGCCCCTCCAATCAACATGAATCCTGTAAGCACTCTTCCTCCACGACCCATCCCCCACCCCTTCTCACACCTTCACATCCACCCGCACCCTCACCACCCACACCACCTTCCCATTCCTCCCGTCCCTCACCTTCCGCCACCTCCAGCTCTCTTTAAGAGCGAGCCTTTAAATCACAGAGGCCAGGGTGAGGACAACTTTCTGCGGCACCTGGCAGAGAAGAACAGTTCAGCACAGCATCATTAACATCCATCTCCTTAAGTGTGTTCTCCACAAGTTATGTGCCCGCCTGTGAGTTTGCGGAGAGGGAGTTGGTGAGCACGTCTGTAGCTGTCAGACCCTCGTCAGCCTCCACCAAGAGCTTTGCTATTGTCTTGGTAAATCAACACATCCAAGGAGATGAGTAAGAAGACTACCTTAAGCTCACAGAGGGAACTGTCATCTAAACCAGGGGAACCACCAAACTAAAGCCCAATTTGCTTGCATTTTCTGGTGACTTTTATAAATTTCAAATAACTCAGACTTGTGGAATTTTATAATTTCATATCAGCTGATGAGGTATGCTTGCTTTTATATCCTGGACTTCTCCTCAAAGAGGGGACAGGCCTGGTTTCCTTTGTACTAATCGGGAAGGCTGTGAGATTAATCCAGAGCATTAATTGTATCACTGTGTATCGTAATGAATTCTTTTCAGCTTTTGGTGCTGGCTACAGAGTTGAGCTAGCCATGTTTCACAGAATACCAAGCATTATGGAGAAAGATGGAAATTTTCTTTGGGTAGCTCTCCTAACGCACTCTTTATTTTACTACAGAAATTATTTTAGAGTTTTTGTATAGACTTCTTTAGTAGTCTGTTTCTAAAATGAAATGTATTTCAATAAGCGGTGTAATTTTTTCAGTGTAGCTGGACCTATGTTGTAAAATAGAAAAAATTTTATAATCATCAAAATGTGATTCTTAAAGATGCATATAACTTCTATAGTTCAAAGTTATTCTTACATCCGTACAACTCAAAGGTGCTTCAGAGACGACATGTGTCTGAAAGGGTCTCCAGACCAGGCAGGTAGCTGCAAAAATGAGTTTTTGCTTTCAGAACTTGGTGTTAAGTCCTTGGTAGTTTTTAAATCTCCGCTTAACACTCAAGTGTTTGTTGGACTCACTGACGTGTTCTTGTCCTCCATATTTCATTTGGTTCAGTTAGTGCGTTAAATGGAAGATTTGCAAAGTGTTGGACCTTTTCAAGGAAAGTCATCTGAAGTTCGCATGTTTTGAAAATCTGAGTAAAGTTGTTCATTGTCAAGAGGAGGAAGTAGTGGAGATTGTTTCATCCCAGTCACGTCTGTTTCTCACTTCCCTTCGAACTGTGTTCATGTTCAGCCTTTATGGGATGACAAATTGAAGTCTCATAATATACTTCTTGTTTTGAGGCTTATTTTTCTAGAATTGTTATGAAAAGATTAAACAGTACACTAAAATCACAAACATGATGTTGCTGATAGTGGCCAAGAAATTTGGAGGGGAACACAAATTGGTTATGTGTTTTAAAATGTCTCGTATCACTGGGTAGATCCACAAGTTTGAGTTATTCTCCAACACAGTTTAAATTGTAGTGAGAGAAGGAAAACTCCTACATTTTGCTGCCCTGCCCTCTGCAAATAATAATGCAATAGCAGCTTTCATAGGTGATAAGGAGAGCAGCATCTCTAAAACCTTTGTGCAGGTTACCTTTTCAGGTTTGGGGAACTTCAAAAGAGCACAATCAATTGGGAGCTTATTATAGAAAGTCTGAACAGAACGGCTAACCTATAGTTAACTGATCAAATCTATCCAGACTCAGTATAGCTAATAATTTTGTATTTTTTCATCTCAGAGAACTGAGTTCCAAAGCTAAGTCTACTTTCTTCCTCTCCTTCTCTTGATTTTTTAATCTTGAAATTTCTTCATTTTTTTACCCCCTCCAGCTCTTAAATCACTGCCCGAATCAGAACCCTGGCTTTTATTTATTTTTTATTTTTATATTAAATATGCAGGCATACTTCAAGCACTTTTCTGGCTGATTAGCTCTGTGGTTGGAAAAAATGGAACTCTTTCCATTGCGATTAAGTCCCTATTTTTAAAATATTGCGTTCTCTACTAGCTCTTTGGTTTAATATTTCCATTTTTTTCTTTCTGATAATTGCTTTTGTCTTCTATAAATGAGCTTAGAAAAAATTTGGAATGAGGCAGAAAAGTATCTCAAAACACACTTTTCTTTCTGTTTGGGGGTGTAATTTCTAAAGAATGTATTTTAAATATCTGTATACATTCTTTGAACTCCCAGGTACCTAAACCAATAAGAAACGTTCATTCCTTGTTTTTGACTGTTATGTGTTTAGGGTCTGCCTCCCCTCATCCCCACAGTCTCCTTCACAGTCCGTGACAAGTTTGTGGATTCACACCTTTACGTAGACATATCGTTATTTCGTGGCCAAGCCTATAATATTAAAGTGATTTTTTTGGAGATATAAATTATAGCTTAGTTAATTGGCTCTACCTTATTTTGTTCTAGATAAATTTACAGTATTGGGCAGCAATTCTGAATTCTAAACTTGAGACCACTGAATCAACCATTTTATGAGGTGTACTGTAATTACACTGGAAAATTCAGGTAGTCATCTTTGATTTTTTTTTATTCAAGTGAATATAGCCATAAGAACGTATCTGCTACATAGGAAAACCAGTATTAAGCAAATAATTACCACCACCCTTAACAGAAGCAAAAAAAAAAAAGGATGATTATTATTTTTTTTAAATCAGCATTGTTGCGCAATGTAGTTCTTAGTGAAATATATTGTGAAACAAACTGGAAACTTCTCATTTTTTTCGCCCTGTATACAAGCTTACCTTTTCTCACTTGGGATTTGTGGTCTTCAGGAAAATTGCCACATTAGTGTCATAGTATATGTTTGAGTACTGAAATGCATTAAGAATATTCCAACTTCAATGCTTCTGAATATAAGAACTGCAGGATTAAGCCTTAAACATATTTGTGCATCAGGTTGAACATGCTTGAGACTCAAACTCAGGGTCGAAAATTTGATTGGGGTCCTTTACTAAGACAAAAGTCAGCGTGTGGTGTTGTTCTCTCTCACATATAGTACAGCACCCCATTACTTCTTCAGAACTTACTCTTACTTGCTATCTGTTTATGGAAAAAGAACTGTGGAGGAGTTTGAGTTCTCAGCCCTTATCTGTACTTTAATAAGTGTTTTTAAAGACAAGGGCCACATATCAGCATTATACAGATATCAAATTGAGGCTGTTTCTCATTATTTAATTTTACTGTCTTCGAAGGCTTGTATCATTGCTAGGGTTAAGACTTACTTGAGGAAAATTCCCAAGGCCTTTCTTGAGTTGATACTGCCTTTTTTTTTTTTTTTTTTTTCCTATTTTCTTCTCATAGATTTCTCATTCAAATATAAACTCTTCTTTAGCCTTAATGAAAGGCTGCTTGCTGCTTTCTCAAATCGAGTCAGGTAAGCTCATAGTTACGTTTTTTAATTTGAATGAAATGAATGAGATGAACAGTTTAAAGGCATGTGGCTTCATTTCCACTTATCTTTGTGATTTGATTCTTATTTTTAGCAAGCAGGGAGGTCACCACATAAAACTTGATGGTAGTTACAGGAAACCTTTGCAAATCATTTATGTATGCTTTTCCAGTCTACCATGTACGTTACTATTCTAAATTCATGGTTGAGCATAGACTTGACCGTGGTTGTACCAACTTTTTAAAACCTACATTGTTGAAAGTACCTTTTCATTGTGGTTAGACCTCCCTATAATTTGATTATTCCTAGTATACTAACTGAAGGCAAAATACTCTGAAGAGATGCTTGTAAACTTTGAATTTTCTACTTCTTGAAAATTTTTTCGGTTTTTATGCTTATTGAATGGATATGTTATGTTTAGTTTAATTTTGATTTCACTGGAAGTTTTAAATTTTGAGAAGATCAAGCAGAATAGAAATCCATTGCAGATGTGTATTTATTTACCCCATCTTGCAGATTTCAGTTAGTGAAACACAGATGGTAGGTGGGGTTTTATTGTAAAAAAAAAAGAAAACTAAATTTAGAGAAACCTTTCTGTTTGAGCTACTGTACAGAAGAGACAGCCTTTATTACATTGCTGATCCATATGATGAACATTTTGACGCTGTTCTAGACTGTATGGGAAGTATTTAATGAAAAAAGGGTTAAATTACATTTAAGGATTTTATCAGCTATGTACCATTACAAAAGTCAACTCACTTGGAACTCTTCAGACTATAAAATTGAGCAAGTAAATATTGGGTTTTAATTTTCCTTTGCCTAAGCCAAGATAGGAAATTTCCCAAAAGATCATTTTTTTCAGGAATGAGAGGTCATTAGCCATTAGAGATAGTGGCATTATTATGCAATAACAACACCCTAGCTAACCTGCTTCTGTCATCTGTAGCATTTATAATAGGTAACGATGACTTTCCAACCCTGGACACTACCTCGTTAAAGCAAACCAGAGATCCTCTCTACATTTTCTATGGAAGCCATAAAAGTTGCCATCGATATATCCACTTTCATAGTTCTATACTTTTATACTCTAGACTTTTTATAGACTTTATGATCAGATCTTTTTGTCTTAGAGGATAGGTTTTGCAAGATTCAAAGGAAAATCAAACTCCTCGATTGTCCCAACTTTGAAGCTTGAGCTTCAGTAAATTTTAAAGAACCAGATAATGTACTATTTATCAAATTCTTCATTTAAGTCAAAACTATTTGCAGAGTTGCCTATTCGGAAAACAAACTTCACTTTCTTATTCCCTAAGCAGAAGCTATATTGTTGTAAGAAACTACTTATAAAGTGGATTTCTACCTTGTTACTCTGTGTATTACTCGATAATGCATATACTATCACAATATCCCTGGAGTTTTATTTCCATATGACAGATCCACGAGTATACACCTCTCTCTGATCCTCCATAATCTAACTGCAGCTTCAGTCTCTCTCACTCTCTTCCTGAGTGCCTTCAAAAAGCCAGCATCCTGAAACATTCTTTTCCTGGTCTAAATCCTACCTCTGATTATTTCATTCTCCATGAGTGTTGTGGAATTCACCATATTCCAATTGGTTTGGCTCAACAAAATAGCTAAAACCTTGGATGAGGATTTTGAACGTATTTCTATTTTGTTCCCATATGTCATGTTTGGATTACATTTTTAACTTTTATTTGTATCTTATTCACATAGTACATCTCTAATGATGACAGATTTTATCCTCTTCCTCTTCACCTTTTTTCTTTCACCAGAAACTAGTTGTTCCTTTAAAATGGAGCTAGTGAATATCTCTTTTGAATGTCTTTTTTTCTCATCCTTGTCTTCTGAATGCCTCCCCATTCTGATTAAGGGATCCTGAATGCTGCTGTCGCTATGCCCTATTTCTTTATGCCCTCTCTCTTCCAGAAGCATTTTGCAAAATTATACCTATAATTTTATTTTAGACAGATAATGTAAAGGTGCCCTCTGGGTTTATCAAAAGTCCTTTGTTGGTCTTTGACCTGCTTCTCTCTTCCTCTGTCCCTTCCAGAAGTGACTTCCAGTCACTTCTTTTTCTACTTGTTCTCATCTAATTAATTTTAAAAATATGATTGATAATATATGAAGGATGTAATAAAAAGGGGGTGGCAGTGTGTTCTCCATGTGATATGAGCACCTTATTAATAAAACATCTTAGCAGTTGGCTAATCTTTCACAGTCGAAACTGAAGCCTGTGCTATATGTACAGGTCTCTTGCTCCCTTTCAGTTTTCTTCTAAAACTGAAGAGTCTACAATGAGAAAATTGGATCGAGTTGGTTTTTTATTTTAATTGAATGAAAACTGTTAGGTTGAGTATTTTGGCCTTAGTCAAAATCTTTCTTTTTGACATAAAATCTCATGCCTCTTTCCTTAATAATACTAATGCTCAGGTTTTCGAGACTAATAACCACATGAAGCGGGGGTCTAAGAAGGCAGCTGTTAATAAATTCTTAGTCCTTTTTGTCTTGTGACAGTATGTTTTGGTAGGACAGTGCAAAAGTGTGACAATTGGTTATGTTTGATAATGAATAAATTCAAGACATTGGAAGGCTTCCCTGGCTATTTGGAATGGGAAGATGAGTTTACAAAATGCAAAAGGTAGATTTCTATGGAAATTACAAGGGTTTCTTGTTTTAAATACTTTTTGCTTTGATTTACCTTGATAGTCTCCTATTATTGAGCTAGAAGTCTGCCTCTTTTAGGGAGTTACTGGTTACCTAAAGTAACCACCTTGAAATGTGTGGCTTTTCGGAGTCACAGGCTGTAACAAGTGGAGAGCCACGCCGAGTTCACACTTGGAGGAGTCACATTCTGGAGACAGACTGTTGGCTTGTGTCATGTCTTCTGTGATAGGAAATGTTTGGTGCAAGTATCAAAGGGCCTGTGCCCCTGAGAAATGTCCGCTCCGCTTTCTAGTTCCAGGTTCCTTTTACACTGTTCGAACTCTTCTGGTGAGATTGAGGGTGTTGCAAATTACTTGAAAATAAAATGATTTGGGAGACATGTAGGAAATGGGAATGCAGCAAGAAGGGGTAGAAGCTGAATTTTGCTTGCATTGTTGGTTTTGCTCAGCCACAGAGCCTGTCTCTGTACCGGGTGTGCCAAAGAATCAAGGTGTTCTGAATATTCAGCAACTCTGAATGAACACGGCTTCCTCTCTACCTGTCTTTTATGGGTGAAAGGGCCCATGTGATCAGCAGGACAGAGACACCAACTCACATCATGCAAAGGACGTGAGGCTGTGTTTAATTACATTTGAAGTTGGTGGGAAATATCTTATTCTTTTAGAATCTCTAACCCTCCTAGAAATACCTTGTGTATGCTTGATTATTCAACCCATGAGTTTTTTCAAAAGTGAAAAAGGAACTGTGGCATAAATTTGGTGTTTACTTCTAAAGGTGTATCCCCAAGGATATATGTGCAGCTTCTGAAAATCAGATGAGTCCTTCTCAATCTTCCATAATTTTTAATTTGCATTTTATTCATTTCTTCACATGGGCTATGTGATTCTATTCCATCAGCAGTACTGGCTTTGTCCACAAGGGAGCAACAAAGTACTTTAGCTTCTTTATTCTAAGCCTTCTAAAGAAAGATCCGCTTTTAAGTCTCTTATAGAATGTCATCCTTTGGTTCAGTGCTTATTTATAGACCTTGCTTTTTAAGATATTTTCCCTTATTACTAAGTCCAGTAGTTGCTCACCCTTCATGATACAAACAAAGATCGATCGGTAGGTCAGAGGTCCTTGTGGATCAGGCATCTTAATTAGCCTTTTAAAATAATGATTCCCTGAGATTGAAAGCCAGGACTTTCCTATGGGGGATCCACTGTGTGCTAAACGCAGAGCGGGAAGGCGGCACATCTTTCTTCTTTCCTCCAAACCCCACCACCAGCACAGGACCATCACATCTCTGAGGAGGACAAGATGGCAGGGATAATTCTGGAGTTTGAATGAGGAAATGCTCCACCTGTTCTGCTCCCAATGGATGTCTGTTACACCAGGGAGCAAGTCCTGGAGTCAGGGAGGCCCCCGCAGCATCACTCCTCCCAATTAGAATTCAGTGTGTGTCTCCTCTGCCACTTACTTGTTTTAGGGCTCCCTGACCATGGGTTTTGTTTGTGCTCTGTGCAGCATCACCGTCACAATAAGCAGCTCGGTGATCGACCAAGGGAAAACACCAGACTGTAACTACTTTCCTTGTAGAGCCGGGAGGCATTTGCACCTGGAATGGCCTTCATAACGGATATCTGCCTGGCTCCTTTTCCCCAGCCCAGTGTGACCCTGAGCAATACAGGTAGATAGAGGTGTCCATTTGTAACTCCAACACTTGACAAAACAGAAAACGAAAAAAACAAAACTGAAGCTGTGATCGGTTTGGTAACAGGTGGCCAGGTGTAACTCGTTTGTTTTGTTTTTGTTTTCCCCAACAGTACTGAAATCACTTGCACTTTTCCTCATTTCTTATAGAAAAGAAAAATCCAGTTTGCTTGCCAGGAATTGTTTAGTGTTAGGTTTACAAAGCTTATTGTTGAATGTTGAACATTTGTCCAAAGGAGTTTGACAAAACAGAAGCTGCTTGGTCCCTGTTCTGCCTGCTAGGTCATAAGGGTTAAGGCCATGTGGCTGGGGTACTTGTGTGTCAAGTCCAGAAGGGGGCAGTGTCCCTCTCCTACCTCTGCCAAGACGCAATTGAAGGTCAAATTGACTCATGTAAGGCAGGTACTTTTCATGCTGCAAAGAAGTTTAGAAGAGTCTTTCAGTTGGGGATGTGACAGGTAGGTAAGACAGGATCTCTTAAGATGGGAAAGAGACTGGGGAGAGGAGAACTGCTTGGCCCCCGGGAACCGCAGTGGGGCGGGACAAAGCTCCCCTCCTGAATCTCCAAACTAGCCTAGCTTCCCTGAGTCATCTTTTTTCTAGCATCCTGTCAGATCCCTCAGCGTACTGATTTTCTCCCTTGTGTTAACTATACCAATATTATTTTTTTAGCAATTGAAATGCACTTTTTTTATTTCAACTCAATCATGATTTTAAGTATAAAAAATTTATAGACTGTTAAAACTACTTTTTTGTGTATTTTTAACCACTCGATGTAGCATTATCTATTTTATTCTTGTGAGACTCTGGTACAAGGTGTGCCACTTCATGATATTTCCGAGATGCTGGGCCTTTGGATGTGTACGGTAACCAACTTAATGCTAATGTTCAAAGTAAAAAAAAAAAAAAAGTAGCCATATCCGTTGTGTGTCTTTCTTCACTGCATTTCTTCCTCATCCTCCGTTGACAACATTTTGAGGTCTCCTTGCTCAATGAATTGTCTTTTTTTTTTTTTTCTGTAAAATGAACACCCCGGATCTGCTATTATCAGTTGTCTCTCTAGTCCCAGCCCACAGACCCTGCTGACCTCTTTATGAAAGATAACGTGTTTTCACGGCTGCTGGCCGAAGTTAGAGTGACCAGTTCTTTTTCTTTGGTGCCGCCTGGCTCCATGCTGATTGGTTTTAGTAACACTACTCAGTCCAGCTGAGCAATAATCTAAACATATCCTAGAAAACAGTGTTTGAAAAAACGATCATAATTGAGTCCTGAACTGGTTTGAAGAAAAAAATAAGCACAGATGGAATGGAAACAGCTTACAAAGTACATGCAGTGAAATGCAATGACGATAAAATGTGACACTTAGGATGAAGTTCCTCTTCCTGCCCATTCCTCTGCCATTCCATTTATTCCACAAATGTTTATCGTATGCCTAATATGGGCTGGGTACTGATGGAGCCAC